AAAAGCTTACAGATGAAAACAGAAATGGAATTATTCATTGAAATATTTAAATCAACTTATAGCAAAGCTATAGCAAAATAAAATCCAGCAAGCCTGGAAGGTGGATCCCCTCTGACCACCTACTTTGGAAATGTGTCTTGCAAAAGGAGGCTGCTTCTCTGCAAAAGGGGAGGTGTGGCTGGGGGATGCAGCCTTGATGGGGTCACGTGGGGACTAGGGGTCTTGTGGGGAAGACCTGGTGGCGGGAATGAGGGCAGGTGACTGCAGCGCACTGTGCTCTTCTTAAAAAAATGAGAAGCAGGAGCAGAGAGGAAATCGAGCTCCTGACTAAGTGCAGATAGCATTTTTTTTTCTGCCTTTTCCCTCACCCGTCTCTGCCTCCCTGTGGAGTGAGTCATCCCCTCTGGTCCCACCGTTGGGCAGCACTCACCTCCACAGAGAGCGTGTGAGGACTCACGAGCGCAGCACGGGAAGGCGCTGCAGCTGGGTGGAACAAGAGGTGCAAGGAGAAGTGGTGTGAATGTGACTGTGAGTCTGAGGCGCGGCACCCTCAGTGCTTACAGGCAACTTTCACCAAGATAAAGCAACAAAGGCCTAGAGGAGTTTTGAGACATCATTAGTATACAAAAGCCGTTCTGCCAAATATGTACTGGCTCCAGCCCACTATCCTAGAGGAACCTCTGGGCTTGTGACTGTAAGGACTGGAGGAGTTCTTACAGCTCACCTGGAGTGGTCTCCCCTGTTCTGACAGATGGCCGTGTAGCCCACAGCCAGGGGCATGGAAGGAGCCGGGCTGTGGAGCTGAGTAACCAGGGGTCAGCTCCTAGCCCTTCTGCCCATTGTCTCTTTGACCTGGAACAAATTATCCAAAGTCTTCATGCTTTAATTTTTTGCTGTAAATTATGGACAGTGCAAATATTGCAGGGCTATTCTGCGAACTGGAAATAACATTGTAAAGCACAGGTATTCAATAGGATTTCCGTGAGTGGCCCTTGCTGTGCCAATTACAGCACTGCTCATTTAAGTATCACCCATGAGCCTCCTCTCGAATACTGCAGTGATGGGAAAGCTCTGTTGCACAACCTTAATGGCTGGAGTCTTCTGCCACATATTATGCCCAATCCTATTTCCTATAACTTCTGTCCATCTACTTTGGTGCTGCCTTTTGCTGCCCCATGGAACAAATCTAAACTTTCTCCAGCAGCTGATGCCTCAAAGATTCAAAGGCAACTATTTTCACTGAGGATGCTTCTGAGCCCCGTCCCTCATTTGTAAGCATCCATGGAAACATGCCAGCCTGCCATAAAGTGATAATGAGAGGGCAAGTCTGAGGAGCTGTCCACGCTGAATGAGCCTGGCCCTGTGTCCATTGCTCATGTGAGCGTTCTAATGTGAGCTACAGGTTGATTTCTCCTGATTTTCCCCATAGTACTCGGGAATAGCATTACTCCCGCTGCGGTATCTGTGGTGGGTGTGATTGCATTAGTACTGCCAGTTTTTTATCGTCTCTATTTCTGATGTTTTTCCCTGTGACTTTGAAGTTCCTGCCCTTTGAATTGAGATTCAACATTGTGACTTCTTTTGGCTGACAGTGAGACAGAATGTCAGCACGCCATCCTGGGCTAAGAGGCATTGCAGACTTCCAGTTACTCTTCAGTGTCCTGTCACTGGCATGAGTAGAACCTACTGCCACCAGCCTACTGGTGCAGGGGAGCTGGGAGATGTTGGGGCAGGGCCCCCGGCAAAGCCCAGCTTCTGTCTGCTGGCCCCCAGCTCGTGCACAGACACTGAAGCAAAAATGAATGGTTACCAATTTAAGTCACTAAATTTTGGAATGGTTTGTTATGCATCGTCTGTGGCAAGATAGAATTACTACAGAAATTATGTGGGCCAGTAAATGCAGAGAAAGCCATACTAACCCCTCCTCATCAGAGTATAATTTTAAAAGAACTAATAGGAGATTTGCAGAACTATTAACAAACTGTTCTGCCAAACTGCAACTTTGAGTCTCTTTTGAAAACTGTGGTTAAGAAGTAAATAAGTATGTATATCTCATCAACCAAATAGCTAATGACAAAATCAAACTCAATTTCCAAAGAGACATGGGATGTTAAGGGTTTCCTATTGGAGACAGTTAATACACTCAGTCAACATGTATTTAACAAGTACCTGCTATGTGCCAGCTCTGTTCTAGGCCCTGGAAATTGAGTGTGGAGAAAGTGGAAGGGTGGAACAAGCTTGGAGTGTCCAAGGTATCAGCAGAAGTAGGGAGAGAAGTAACCTGGTGCAGGAAGAAGGGGGCAGTATTCAAAGAGGCCAGGACACCTGCCCCACTGCTGGCTGCAGGGGTTTTACAGGAAGTAGACTGCAGTTCATTTCAGAGTATTGACTGCATGGCGTGATTCACTCCTGGCAGCTGTGGGGAGAATGGATTATCGGTGGCCAAGAATGGAAGCGGAGAAATCAGTTCATTCATTGGGTCATTGTGGTTGCAACTAGAGTGTTGCAAGGATGGACTGAAGTAAAAGGCTTGAGATCTATTTTGGAAATAGAAATCAAGATTTCCTGATGGAATAAATATGAGTGAAAATGAAAAAATATGAAGCATGACTCGTAGGTTTTCAGTGTGGGAAACTTTGAAGGTGTTCAGTGGTGCCATACCTGTAGATAAAGAGAGACTGGAGGAGGAACGATGCGGGAGGGGGAGGTCAGGGGTTTGTCCCGATGGTGAGATCTCGAAGGGGATCTGTCGAGTAGGCTGCGGCACATACTAACCTGCTGTTCAAGGCTGAAGATAAAAGTTGGGCAGTCATCCACACAGAGATAGTGTTTTGGCAAAGAGCTAGAGGAGTTCAACTAGAAAAAGTTAAAAATTTTTAAAATTTAAACTATAAGAAGCTTTAAATTTTAAAAAAATTTTAGAAAAAAATAAGTGGGAGGATTAAGCTTTCAGAGCAGGCTGACATTTAAAAGCCCAGCAGAGGAAGAGGAGACAGAAGAAGAGGCTGAGGGAGAAGTGAGAGCACGTGAAGCTGTAGAAGCCAAGAGAAGGAAGTGTTCCAGGATGAGAACCGGCAGCGCAGGCTGTGCTGGGCGGAACGCAACTGAGTCACAAAGTGAGGCGAGGACAGAGAAATGGCTGTCGGGTTCAGCAGTGTGCCGCTGATGGGTGGCTTTGAAAACAGAAGACAGTGGAACAGTGGATACAGAAGTGAAGATGAGAATGGTTGAGAAATGAATGGGAGGTGAGCTGGGGTGACCATGAGGCTTTGCTGAGAAGGCAGACAGAGATGAGGGGAAGGTAGAGAGGACCAGAGTTTAAGGTACTATTTCATTTCATTTTGTTTGAAGCGGGAGATAGAGGGGCACATTTAAATGACATTGAATGAATATATTTTTTATGTATCATAAACATATACAACTTTAAAAAGGGAAATGAGATAAGTAAATAAATAAATATGAAGAAATGAATGAATGCCAGTGCAGTTAAGTCAGCAGAGAGAAGAGCTGATACTGCGAGAGAAGAATTAGACAAGTGCATCTACATCTTTCAGAAGAGGAGAACAGGAGCACCGTGGGGATGTCAGCCTCTGGAAGCCCTTCCTTCCCTTCACGGTAGAGGGAAGGGCAGGCACTAGCAGTGGAGCACCAGTTGGCAGATTTGGTGATGGGAAGCGGAGAAGTACTGTCAGTTTGCTTGAATTTTCTCAGTGAACTGACTTTCGTTCATTTAAAGAGTCAGGGCTTCTGAGCCCAAATTCTGACAGCTTGAAATTTAATGACAGTGATAACCTCCTTTCTATAATATACTCTGAAGAGCAAAGCAGATGATAGAAGTTTAATGTATACTCTTTCATTTGATACTTTCCTCCAAATTACTGGTGTTCAGCTTTAAAACAGAACCACTCCGTTGCTCTAAATGCAGACACTTTAATGAGGAAACTTCTTAAAGGGAGGAGAATGGAATTAAGACCTTCCAAAAGTCATCACCATCCTTAGAACCAGTGGGTCAAAGGCGATTATAGCATGAGATCCCAGTGAGAGCTGTGGTCAGGAAGGCAGAGCCAACCGGTGTGATCAGTGATTGCAGAGACGGGCTGTCACTTTAGGGGCAGTGGTGTCCACGAGAGAAGGGGTGAGAAATACCCTACCTGCTCTCTCCGCTTGACTCCCGCTGCTGTTTCCCAGTGGTTGAACCTAGCCGGAAGCCAGCTGGCAAGGAAGCCAAGGTGATGTGATTCATGGTGAAGCCCAAAGCACTGATCTGGCGGTGAATAACCGGCACACTTCATGCCATTAATGTCGAAAGGCTTTGAAAACCACACCAAGCAGAAGTTTTACACCCAGTGTCCATGTGTAGAATGCATCTTATTATTTGGAAACCCAGCTGACCGTGCTCTTTGATGCAAGTCATCATGGGTACCTACAATTCTGACAGCTTTCGGAGGTAGTGCTTGTTTCTAGTCTTTTTTGTTCCTAGCCAGAAATATATATAAATACACACTGTGCAGCTAGGGGCCCTTACTTGCATACGCCCCTTCCAGGGCCATGAGAGAGCCCTAGAAATGTGTTCATATGTTCATATATTTTTGTAAAATTTTTGAAAGTAACAATACCTTAACTGCAGTGAATTAACACAGTGACCTCTCTCACTCTGTCTGGCGTTAGAGAGGTCTCCACCCTCTTCACTCCCACTACATGTAGTTTTAGCTCCCCTAAACCTGGGTGTGCTCCTGCTTTCCAGAGGCACAAGTGTCTTAGTGCAGATTTCTCCCACCCTTGGGTCAGCGTGATTAATGAACATCAAAGTGGACATTTGGCAGGAGAAAGTATAGCAGGAAAATAAGACAAGCTAGGACACAGGGAGCGAAGTCCTGGGGAATGGAAGGAAAGCACTGTCTCCTAGGCAGCTGCCCACCGAGTAGCGAAGGGTGCCAGGCGGCCCCAGGTGCCTGCTTATCTGTGTGGCCAGACTCAGACACTGCTCTTTGTATTTTCAGATGCAGATGGAAACCTGTGCCGAAGTAACCAACTGCTGCAAGTCACGCTGACTATGCACCGAATCATCATCTCCTCTACGGAACTGCTCCAAAAAGTTATGACCCTATATCCTTGCACACAGCGACGGGAACCCCAAAGTGGGGCTCATCCAAAATGTAGCCTGACATTTCAAGTGTGCTTTCTGTTGACTGGTTGGGAATAACCGTCAGTGTAAATTGTTCCATATATCTTTTCAGGGTGTGTGTGTGTGTGTGTGTGTGTGTGTGTGTGTGTGTGTGTGTGTGTGTGTTCATACGTGCCTGTTCTTTTGCATGCAGCAAAAGTGCTCCCAGAGGTGCTTAAAGAAGTTACCTGCAGTATGTCTGCCTGGTGAAGGCTGTTCCCTGTAGAGTAGTCAGGATCCGTAGACATCCTATACCGGCTGACAAGGGCACCAGCAGGACTCTAGCAGTGCTCCCTTGCCTGGCTTTCCTTCCCAACTTTTCAGGCCTCCCCTGGCTCAGGAGAAAGCTCCCGTGGCTACAGCATCCTAGAAGATAAGCTGGAGCCTTCTTGCCAGGCAGAGGCACTGATGACGCCCAGAGCAAACCCTGCTGGGTCCCAGCCCTCTTGTGGGTGTGAATCTGGGGAGGAGGGAGGAGGCGCCTGCTTTCCCTTTCTCACTGCTGCCTTGTGAGCTGTGGAGAGAAAAGGCCCGTAGGGGAGGTGAGACCGTTTAGCACCTGGAGTGTGTGTCCTGGGACTGAGTCACGACTAATCCTTTACTACTCTGCTGACTCCTCCCAGCTCATCTTATGGCCATTAGAAAAACTAAATACTAAATATGAAGAAAAAGAAGTTCATCACGCCTGAGTCTCTTCCCTAGCCCCACTCAGGAGTCTTATCCCCCACCTCCAGAGTCGCAGTTCCGTGGCCCCCAGAGGGTGGAGCGTGGGAGAGGTCTGTGCAGTGACAGGTACAGAGAATGTGCAGATACCTTGTCTGCAGAGAATTTTCAAACCTTGAAGCAGCAACTCAGAGGCTTTCTGCTTTTTGTTAACTCCATGTTCCAGTGATTACAAGCAGTGTGGGTGATCAGATGTTCCTTCCTCAAAAGGTGTTGACCTCGGGACCAAGCTGTCCCTGGGAGAGCCCCCGGTCCTGCCGCAGAGTGGCCCCCTGCCCTGCTCACGTTCCCTCTGCTCACAGACCCATTCTCTGCCAGTTACCTCTCTCTCCCCTAGACCCACAAACACCGCCTCTCACTGGCACCTGCCCCTCAGCCACAACACACTCGAGTGTCCCCAAACTAAAGCTAATCTCATTATCCCACTTGCCCTTCACTGATTGCTAGGTTAGAAATTTGATGCATCTTAAAATACTTTGCAGTCACTCTCTCTGATCTCTTTACTCCTGGTCCTTAACTCAACCATTGCTCCTTCTCAAGCGCTCAGACTTCCTTCTGAGAGCACCAGGGACCTACGATCGCTAGTCCCAGGGCTTGTCCAATCCTGTGGACAGTGACTGCCAGACAGCCTCTGCCTCTCCATGGAGCTCTGCCCTGGGGCTCCTTGCCTTCTCTGCTGTCCCTTCCCCAGGTCCCGTCCGGCCTCTTCCCTGAGCTGCCCTTGAATTCAGGAGCCTGCTGTTCTCCCTGTCACTTGGCTGGCCTGTGAGGTGCTTCTGTCCTGCACGTCCACGCTGCCCTTCTGTGCTGCTCGCTTGCGAGATGTTTCTCAAGCCTAAACCCTGTTTTGAAGATCTGGACCAGCTCTTCCTGCTGACACGTCACCATAGCTTGTTGAAAGACCTTCATCTGTTCACGAGCTCACCCCAACCCCAGCCACATCAGACCTGCTCTGACATCTGCGTTTCGTTTCCAACTTCAGCTGTGGTGTCATTGCCAGCTGCCTAAACCAGAAATGTCAGAAGCAGTCTTGGCAACTCCCTGGCCTTCACCGCCCACAGGCTCTGCCGCCCTGTCCTAGAGTTTCTGTTTCAGAATTGACTCTTCTCTGGTCTCCCTCCATTCCTGCGCTGCCGTCTAAGTCCAAGTCCCCATGTCTTTCCCAGCCCTCTGGCCCTACTGGTCATCTCCTGTACATGGTCCCTCTTGTATTTATTATCTGCATCACGGTGCTTTCCTTAAAATCAGCCAGGTAGGCAGTTGCTTCAGAACCTCTCCCAACCACCGGGCTCATGTGTGACTCCTCAGCTTGCTGGCCAAAGCCCTGGCAGTCCAGCCCAGCCTGCCCCTCCTGCTTCCTGCGGCGCTCCCCGGTCCCTTCCCCTCCACACTGCACCCCTCAGCACTCCAGATGTAGGGGGCCACTCCCAGGCCTTGGGCTTGGAAGCCCTCCTCTCTCTCTCTGTGCCTGGTAAACTCCTTTCACGAACTCTCCAAGGGGTTTTTCCTGACCTTCCAGCCCTCCTTCTGCTTCAGAAATACTTCTAGTGTTTTAAGATAGTCTTCTGGGGATTGCACATCCATTTGATTTCTTTCCCTTTAGTTTTACATTGCTTAAATCAAAGCCTCTCTCTTTTTCCCCTCTCCCTCCCTCTCTTCCTCTCTCCTTCCTTATCTGAATGTATTCTGCCTTCAAAAGCATTTTGCCTGTGACTACAGAAAGTGTGAAGTGCTCTTAGGGTGTTAATTAGTTGGTCTAACAGAACTTGAGTCTGTAAGTTTTGCAGTACTATAATATGTACATGTTATAAGTGGCTCTTTCAAACACTATAACTTATAGAACCTTGTGTCTAGCTGCTGAATTTTGCTAATGAGAGGTTCCAAAGGTATGGCAAGTTTAAATTACAAATGAAGAAAAAATAGAAACATGTTTTTAAAGAATATGTATTGTTTCTATTTGCCTGTCATTTTCTCCAATAGACTGGCCCTCCAGGGCAGGGCCCAGGGCTTCCTGATCTTTGTTTCTCTTGGTTTAGTGACCGTCTCATGGTAGCGTGCAATAAATGGTGCATTATTATAGGTACAAAACATTGCATGCTTTTCTTTGTATTTGCTAGAACTTTCAGGTCACATATCTGGGTTTTGCTTGAGGTTAAGATTTAACCTGAAGTAGAGAAAAGGATTCTAAGAGGGGAGTATGAAATAAAAAACTCCCTGTTATGGAGAGTCAGGTTAAGCACTGAAGCAAAATGATTTTTTTTCCCCCACACTTGGTTTCCCATTTTGTTTTTCTGTTTTGGTTTTTTATGGTACAGGGGATTGAACCCAGGCTGTTTGCATTGAGCTGTATCCCTAGCCCTTTTTTTTATTTTGAGACAGTGTCTCTCTAAGCACATAAGTTGTCCAGGCCAGGCTCAAACTTGAGATCCTCCTGCCCCAGCCTCCAAAGTGCTGGGATTACAGGTGTGCCCTACCACGCCACGCTGATTTCCGTGTTCTTTGATGTGGAAGTAATAGAACTTTTAGTTAAATAGGCAATAGGCTCAGGTGGTTTCCTGTTTTCCATTAGGTGGGGTCAGGGGAGATTCGTTTAAAAACATGCTTTGAATAGTTTAGAGGCCTGAAAAGCACAGTCAGCGCGATGTGGGCCCTCCCTGGCCACAACACTAGTTCTGGAGAGAAGAAAAGGTGTTTGAGTCTGAGGCTTTCAGCAAATGCTGAAGGTTACCCAGATCACAGACCCCTGAGCCTCCGATGACTCAGCCTGTGTGTGCTGGGTGTTTGGTCCCCACCCCCCAAGTGAGAAAAGGGCCTTTGCGGGGGGCTGCCTTTGCCAGGGCCTCAGGCTCTCATGACCTCAGGAGGCTGGGTTCGAGGGGCCCCAGCCCCAGCGCTCAGGTGGACAGGCGCAGTACGCACACTGCAACGTCTAAGCGCTGACAGGAGATGTTTGGAGAGAAGGCTGGGGCAGCGGGAGGAAGACGGGGCCCACAGTGATCCGCTGTGCCGGTGCACCACGCCATCTAATCGTTTTTAAAACAGGAGAGTAAGAAAGAGGAACAGAAGCTTCAACAGACAGAAAAATAACAAAAACGCAGACCCTACGAAGCGTTCACGTGCACTGCACCCGTGCCTGAGTCCCTTTGCTCTGAGGTGCTAGGCTTTCGTGTTGCTGTGGCGTAAAGAGGTGGAAAAGTCTCCTGCTGCGCCCGGGAGAGGTGGGCATCAGAACCTCGTGCTTCATGAAGTTGGCCGGGGGCCTAGGGCTTAGTTTTATTTTATTACCTTGGTTGATGTGTGAGGTTTTGTGGTTTTTTCTGTTTTGTTCTGCTGCTCAGATCTCAAGGACAGATTTTATAGGCAGTAAGTTTGTTCACATTTAATTTTTAAAATTGAGGGTCATTAAAATTACGAATGTCACAACCACAGCTCTGTAGTTTTTCAAGTTCAGCTTGTAAATCTTATCTTTTGTGTGCACCTACCGTGTTTCAGCAAGCAGTTTTAAAGGACTTTGGAAAATGTTTGGTTAACTTGAACAGTGTTAATGAAATACTTCCAGTGGTTTTAAACTACAGTAAAATATTTTACATTTTAGATTTTTTAATACTTTAGATGCCTCCCTAAATTCTAAATAGCTTTTATAACTGGACTGAAGTTATGAACAATAAAGCAAACATCTTAGATGTTCCCAAGCTGTCTATAAAATTAGGTTTCAATATAAAACCACAAGTCCAAAGCACTTAATTACACATTCTAAACTGAAATTTAAAGGCTACTATTCTAATATGCTTTTAAATGCTACAGGCTTATAAAGTTTCAAAATGCATGGTTGCCTTCCAAGTAAACATTAGCACAAGATTTTTACTCCCTTTTACCTTTCTATATTTAATTCTAAATTTTCCAAGGATCAGAACACACATACCCACTAAAGGAAGACCACTGCTACCCCAGTTAGTTGTGACTTCTGCTGGCTTGCTTACTGGATTCCTCTCATGGGCTGCACTAGAATTCATGGAACTCTGTATTGCAGTCGTTTCATCACAGATTTGAGGGGGAAGAGGCATGGCCTTGTGGGGCACACTGTCCCATAGGCTGTTTCTCAGTCTCTTGAGGGAAAGAAGGTGGTGAGACCCACTCAGCTTTGTCACTGGATTGGATATCTCATTTCTTCAACTCTTAAAACAAATGAGTATCCTTTCCCTAAAGACATGTAAATTTCATGACATTTTTCTGTTCTTCCCTGTTCTTGAATATTTAGGATGATGAGGACCCTTGAGGTAACCTCCAGTGCCCTCTGGATTATTCCCATGGCTTTGTCTGACTTGTCCTCTCAACTGCCAAGGTTCCTGTACCGTGACATCCTCTGGGTGCATGCGTTGTAACTTTCACATTATTCTTAACTATCATGACAGTGAATTATTATAATTGAATATATAATTCTTCCTTTTGTAATTCACTATGCAAATTTTTGCTGCATGAATCAGTTACTGGAAGCATTTTTAAAGATAGAAGGAGTTGCCCTCTTCAGCTTGCTGACTCAGTTGGACGCTAGTCTCTGGGACACAGGCAAGAGGTCATGGGGCCGTTCGAGCAGATACTTCCAAAGATGGAAGGTGCTTGGTTTCCGTAACAGTTGCTGTTTCCCTTAACCACAGCTCTACCTATAAAAGCGCCTTGGCAAAGAATTCACCAGGGGTTTGTCTGAAGATCTGCTATTTTGTAAGGTAACGTTTCTGCTCCTGCTTAGAGACTGGAGCTGGGTGAAGCAGAAGGCTCCAGCAAGGGACTCTAGGTCTTTCCTGACCTCCTGCCTTCCCCCCACATCCATAGACCCGTACGCGCTGCACACCCCAGAAAGGGCAGGCCTCAGTTCTGCAAAGTCCTGCGCGGAAGCCAGTGAGCTTCTTCTGAGGTACCTGAGCCAAGATCTTACACCAGTACTTTTTTTCAGTTTTACAGCATTTTGGTGTCAAGTGCCATAGGGAGGGATACAGGCATTTATTTTCATTCCTAATTATAAAGGTAATGTAGCTGATTATACATTTTTTAAATTCAGAAAGTAATATAAATCATTCACATCCAGCTACCTATTTTCGTACATTTCCTTTTTCCCACATGGATTTTTTTTAACATAGTTGGTATAAAAATGCGCCTAGTTTTATATCCTATAGTTTGCACTTAACTTTCTATTGAAAGAATGTTCTCTTTTTTTTTTTTTTTTTTTTTTTTGGTTTTTCTCCGGTACCGGGAACCGAACTCACGACCTTGCGCTTGCCAGGCAGGCATGTTTGCCGCTGAGCTAAATCCCCAGCCCCTGAAAGAATGTTCTCTAGTCCTTAAAGACTTTTTATAAATGTTGTTTTCCCTGGTGAGACAATATTCTAACGTGTGAAAAAGCATACTGTATGGGCTCATTGGCCCAGTTTTTGGACAGTCGGTTTGTCTGTAGTTCTCTCCTTTGTACCTACCTCTGATGCACACAATGCGGCTCCTTTGATTACCGCACGCCTGGTCTTATCAGAGCCCTTGTGTGTGGTGACACTGAAGACTGTCACTAGAAGATCACCTTTCCTCTCTGCTCCCGGCCTCAGCACTTTTACAGTGGGACACATTAGCCTCTCTTTCTCAGAGACCTCTTTTGTAGCTGCAAATTCCTGCGTGAGCCCGCCCATCTGAGCCCTTGGCTTCAGCGCTGGACTGTGATTTTTAATTCCCTCCCTGTAGGTATTGGATAACGGAATTCTGGATCATGTTTAAAGTGGATGCCAGCCTGATAAACACTATGGAGGAGTTCCAGGAACTGGTGAAAGCTAACGGGGAGGAGGCGCACTGCCGCCTGATCGACACAACTCAAATGTGAGTGTCATGGTTTGGGCTCTTTCCTTGGAGTCAGCGCCCTCCTGTAGTCCTGGCTGCTTGGCTATGGACTGACTCCTGGTGGGAACAGCTGCGCCCCTTCACTGTGCCGAGGAGCCCTCAGACGGGCAGGCCCGGGTCGTCTCACCAGAGCAGACGCTTGACGTTCAGTAGGAAGCTGAGAAACCTCCAGTGGCCAGCCGCATGTGACTCGTGTACAGGAGCAGAGAAAATAAATCCCAGTCAGGAAATCAGGTAGCAAGACCTTAACTAAGGTGCATCCAGACCATGAGAAACCGAGAGGGTGGTGGCTGGACTCTGCCCCTTCAGAAGCAGATGCAGAAGACGCTCTGACCTTGTAGAAGAGGAAGTGCCGGAAAAGGCATTAAGCAGAGGGTTTATAACATAGGTGTCTGGGAAAGATGCTTAAACTTCCAGGATTGGAAAGGGATCTCACGAAAATTTCAGCTTATTCCTTGCATTTCTCATTCATGTAATTGGCTCACTCTGGAAAATCAGTTTTTCCTAATTTTGAGGAGGGAAACATATGCATTGTATGCTGATAACATAGCCACATTATTTTGCAGTAGAGAAAATCTCTAGGATATAGAATTCTAGCAATGGAACATATTCTAGAGATCAGCTCATTCCAAGTCCTGATTTTCTGAGTGGGGAACTGTGACTGCCCTGGGATCGCAGGCAGACAATCTAGGGGCACAGCAGAGCTACACTCTCCACCACGTAGAAATGATTACACAGTTACCTTCCAGGGCCCCAAAGCAATCTCATCAGTCTGGAGTCTCTGTACTTCCCTGCTAAGTATTGTACAACTAGAAAGAGAAAAGAAAATTTTCTAAGTAACATTTTGGTTTTGTTTTTCCATTTTAAAGATAAAGAACCTATAGCCTGGACAATTCTCATACCTAAGTCTCCTTCCCCAGTATTTCCTGGCTGACCTTTCTCAGCCGATCATTTCTACAGTATATCTTTTAGGAATTACTCTGTGAGATGTTATCTGACCAGCTGTATTTGGGGAACAATGGGGTAAATTCTCCTTTTGCATTTGAGAAACTAACATATTCATTGGCCAAGAGAGGTATAGAATTTATACTATTTCTCAAGCTCACTGGATCCTTGAGCCCTTTTAGTAAGAGGCAGGGTACCCAGGAACACTACCTTGCAAAATACAGATTTGAACCAGCTGCCTTCCAAAACTGGACTGCTTTCCTCTGCTTCCTTAGTGTTGGGAATAGAAACTAATTAAGAAACACATGAGCTGTTTATGAGGAAATACAAAGGAGGGGCACTCTAGGGTCAGCTCAGATTCCTTGGTCATTGTAGAGGCTGGGGACATCTGAGGAAATCACTCCACTCTACCCAGAATGACTACAGGTTACTACATGTTTTTCCTTGCACCTAATGGCTTCTCTCTATGATTCTCTGACCCCTTCATGTATGAAAACTGCTGAGCTCCAACCAAACAGTGCCATCACCTCAGGAGCATGAAGGGACACCCCCAGCAGCCACAGAAAGCAGGCATAGCAGGGGCTGGACCAGGGAGTCAGGAAACTGGCCATGGCCCAAACCCCGCCCTTGCCCTGCCTTAATGGGAACTCACCCTGTGCCTGTGATGCATTCTAAAGGCTCTCTTGAAGCCAGCCAGCCTTCCTGGTTGCTGCCATAGAAAGACGGATTTGGGGAAATGCTGTAAATGCATTGTGTTGGCCAAGGAGAGGTAGACAAACGGTGCTTTGTCTATTTTGTGGGTGTCGCTAATGGATTTACTTGCAAAAAGCATTGCAATTTATTCCTTTTCCTTGGCTTCTCCTTTTCCATATGTACACACAAAAGCAATGCTCGTGACTGGTCCAGGAAACTTACTCAAAGGATAAAATCAAATACGAGCAAGAAGCGGAAAGTCTCTCTGCTCTTTGACCATCTGGAACCAGAAGAGCTATCTGAGCACCTCACCTACCTGGAGTTCAAGTCCTTTCGAAGGATATCTGTACGTACCCAAGGGGCAGGAGGAAACCTGTTCTGGGAGATTTCTGAAAATACATAGGGAAACTGGACAGCTTGTCTGTCGCAGAACACTGGAGGCCCCATCAGTGCTGGGGCGATTTCTCAGCAGACACTGTGGTGAGAACATAGGTGCCACCTGAATTCCTTTGGCTGCCCCTGCTGGGCTTCCCTTCTCTTGCTCCTTCCATGGCTACTCTGCCCCACCCCTCAGTCAGGTTGCATGGCCCCCTGCATACGTGACGTGAGTGCACACCCTTCCTTTATCCCTGATAATCATTAGCCTTCCAGAAAAAACAAACATTAATCTTCCTCCAAACAGCAGAGATATGTCCCCTCAGAGTTGGGATTCATTCTAGAATAGGCTTTTGATGGCTCTGGAAAATCCCACAATAAAATAGATGCTGCAGGTTGCCCCAGAACATACCTTCATCCCTAAAGTGGTGCTTTAGGGATGGTGACCCTAAGGAGGTGACCCAGCAGTTACCATGCTTCTAGACAGAAACTGTGCTGACCTCATCTTTGCTGTTGGGGCAACCTGGACTAGAGTGGGGAGGGGGGAAAGAGGGATTCTGATTTATCATCAAGAACGAGAGAGCATACACGTGCATCCTGTCCTCACTATAACCCTCCAAACTCCGTATGTGATACCAGAGAACAGTGGCATCAGATACCAGTGGGACCCGCACTGGCCAGCATGCTGCCCTGACAAGGGCACCCTCACTCCTCGCAGGCTGCACCCCACCCGCAGGCACAATCTTCGGCTTTGCTCTGAAATACAGATGGCAAGTTGCTGGATGCCTTCCTTGGAACAACCCATATACCCCAGGCAAGGGAATGGGAGCCAGCCCAGAGGGCTGACGAGAGCAGGGTCAGCATAGCTTATGGGAATCCAAGCCGAGGCTTGGGACCATGTGCCTCTCAGCACCAGTGTGCTGAACTGGGTCGTCTCTGGAGGAGACCTGCAAACCAGGTTACAGAAGTTATTTCAGACCTTTCTCCCATGTTGTCATACCTCCTGTGTTCACACGGCTATTTGTCCAACTGGCCACAGATCCCCCAGCTTCCATTTGGAAATGAATCTCCAGGCATCCCCCTCACCCCTAGCCTTCACCAGGACCCCCTCCGTAGAAGCCCAGAACCCACCAGGGCTGCACTGCGGAGTCTCCTTTTGGCAGAGCCTCCCCTATCATGGGGCAGGCAGGACACCAGCGAAAGCTGAAAGCCACTGCGGGGGACACTTACCATGCTGGAAATCTGAGCCCTGGGGAGAAGCTGGCAGGGCCAAGGCCTGCAGGATGTGTGTTCGATGGCACAGTTCGGACCAGTGGAGGCAGAGATGAAAAATCAGCACCAAGCAAGCAATCCGAGCCAGTCTTGCAAGGGCTGAGCAGTGTTCTACTTGCACATAAAAAAAGTTTGAACCTCCATTTCTTTGGACTGGCACAGTCCCTTCAGAGAAGACTGTTCCAGGGATTTTCTGTTTTTCCCATACAGTTCTAAACATATTTCCCAGTTTTCTTTCCAACATGACTTTGGAGGGAAATTTATCTCTACTGTGAATTGAAAGGCATTTCCTATTTCCTCTTCCTTATAACATCTCCTAAAGAGAACAATTCTTTTAAAAAATAGTGGTTCATGGGTATATCTGTAGTGGGGAAGTTTATGAAAATGTGTTCATTGGAATGAGTCATAGCAACCATCTCTGGAACCAGGAAGAATTGTGCTTTCTATGTCTCTTTTAAGGAGTGGTTTTGGCCCTACCCAGATTTCCCGCCCATCAGCAGTCACAGCACAGTAAAGTGGGGTTTGTTAACATGCAGTTGTTTCATTCAGGTTGGGAGTTCTCCTCAGCCTATTTACTACCGAGGCAAGACCAAGGTGTACTGCAGTAACACCCCCTACACACCCACCCACAATCTCAGTGACTTAAAATGAAAGATTATTTATCACGTATACTATGTGCTTAACAAGGTTCGGAGTGGCTCAGAACCCAGATGATGCAGGCCTCGTCTTGTCTGAGATTCCCACCGTCTCTGCTGCAGTGGAATGGCAGTGTCGCAATCATCCATCTGTTGGCTCTCAAGTGTTTCCCTCCAAAGTCATATCACTGCGCGCACTTCCTGCTGGCTGGTTATGTCACCCAACCACACCTGCTTTCGGAAGCATTCAGACTGGGCCCAGCACCAGAGCCTCCCACAGGAACGTGGAAGACATGTTGCCTCTTGGCTATATTGTTTGTGCAGGGGCTTCTTGTGACAGGGACTTAATATCGACAGTCATCACCTATACCCACTCTGCCAACCCCTTGTGGTTCTGTGTGCTGCTTCATTGTTAACCATAGCCAGACTGGCAAACTGGTCACTGACTATACAGTTAACCAAGTTTTGTGTGCCCCTCTTGCTTGGCCTCTGCTCAAGTTCATGAGTAGGAAAGAAATTCAAGAGGCTTGTTTGAGCATGAGGAAATAATCACTCCATTAGCACCACCTCACAATTATGTAGCACTTTGAAAAGTTAAAGTGCTTTCACACATTCACTTGCTTGATCTTTATAACAATTCCATGTTCTAAATAGGGCAGATTTTATTATCACATGTTTAAGATAACAGCTGGGTAAAATTTGTTTTTATGAGGGGAATTATCTTTTTTTAATTTTAGAAGCAGAGCTGGAATCAGTAATGAGATTTTTCTCCTATACTGTTCTTTAGAATTTAGTAGGGATAGGAACAGAATGTGCTCAAATACAGTATTTGGATTAGTGTACGTACCCTACAACTAATAGATTTTGATGTAGAGGAGCCATGATGTGACTCCCCCGCCACCCTTCTTGTTGGCCCATGGCAAAAGGCAGGGGAAGAGGCCACAGACTTGTCTGTCCCATAGAGGTTCCCAGCCATTACTGAACAGAACTCACTTGCCCGCTGATCTCCTGGAATACCAGAGCACAGGCCTGATGGTTGTTTTTCTTCCTCCAGTTCTCTGATTATCAAAATTACCTTGTAAATAGCTGTGTGAAGGAGAACCCCACGATGGAACGGTCCATTGCCTTATGCAACGGCATCTCCCAGTGGGTGCAGCTGATGGTTCTCAGCCGCCCCACTCCGCAGCTCCGGGCAGAAGTCTTCATCAAGTTCATCCATGTGGCTCAGGTGAGTGACTGGATTGAGCCTTTCAGCCTGGGCTGTGAGGTAAATTAGCTGTATTTCTTTTTCCAGCCTAGTCTTCACTGGGAGCTGTTCTTCCTTTGTGAGTCCCGGTGGGACGCTGTCCCCAGACCTACATAGGGTGATATTTCTATTTTCCCACTCACTCATTAGAGGTATATTAGAGCTACAGATCTTTAAGTCCAACCCCAGACCCAGGGCTGAGCAGTCTCTGCGCTGAACAGGTGCTCGTGGTGATTGTGGGAAACTGCTACTTAGATGGTGGTTCATAGATGAGCTGCAAGAAAGGGAGAGGTATAACGTTTGAATCCATCAGGCAGAAATACAGCGAGAGGGAGAAATGAACAGAAAATTGCCCCTTGTAATCACTAAGCGACCAGCGTAAGGAAGGGTCACAGCACAGGCGAGAGCCACTAAGCTCCCTGTATAACTGGCGTGTGCAGTCACTCTGTTGTCATCTGTCTTCTGTCACAGAAGCTTCACCAACTACAGAACTTCAATACGTTGATGGCTGTGATAGGTGGGCTGTGTCACAGCTCCATCTCCAGGCTCAAGGAGACCAGTTCGCACGTCCCACATGAAATCAATAAGGTCGGTGCTGCTGTCTTCTCAGGACTCTTACAGGTGACCTTCCCAGGATAAACACCAACATTTTCTTCTTGAGAGGCAGCTCAGAGAGCATTTCCAAACCACACCGTCCCTGGCCAACAGGCAGAGGACAAGGAGCCACACCCCGAGGGGACCCACAGGGTGGCAAAGTTACGGGTTTGAGTGTCTTTGATTCCCTCTGGCCTCAGGTGGCGTCACCACATCTTTCTCTCTTGGGCCAGCTGAAGCGATGTGTGTCTTTTTCCCATGTTCAGAGGCCACTGAGTATTTAGTCACCATCTTTATTGCTCACCCGCTTGCCCCAGTGCCTCACTGCGGTGTTTTGCATGTGGGGTATAGTTACACAGTGGTGCATTAAAACCCTGGCTCTCCAGAAGACTTAGAGAATGATTTCCTGCATGCTTAGATATTCCCAGACAGGTGGAGATGAGCTCTTCAGATAGCGTTTTGTAACAGAAAATGTTTTAGTAAGGACTGTTTCCCTTAAGTGTCCTGTGCACATTTCTCTATTATTTAGATGTTACAGAATACAGCTTAATCTTTTATGACATAGGGCTGTTGCTATAAACCACCATGCTCTACTGAGAACCTCAAGGCAGCCATGTACGGCATGAGTTAGCTATGATAGCTTTTATACATTTTCATTTTAGTGTAATGGGACCTTTCTGTCCTCAAACTCTGGCTGTCTGCAGCTGGCATGGAAGGCAGCTCTCTTCTGAGGGAGGGAAATCTGTGGCTTTACTGCCCTGTCCAATTATCCCAGCTGTGTAGTCCCCTTTTGGAGAGTACCTGGTTAACTCTCTCTGCCATCACAATGTAGGGCCTGTGGGGAGCTGTCCTCAGTGCGCAGGTCGAAAGGGTAATCGTTAGTCACCTTTTCCTTTCCTAACGGTTCTGCTGAGGTCAGATGGGACAACCGTCAAGGTTCCCCATGTGTCAGAGGCAAGGGGGAGAGAGCCGCAGAGACTGACATGTCCTGTGTCATTTAGCTTATAAATTAGAGCTTGCTTCTCTTCAGCTTGAGTTTCCCTCCAGCGGTGCTTCTGGTCTGCAGTTGCTTGGCCCTCGAGGTGGCCTTCAGCCTGAATTAGTAAATTAAAGGTTGAAGCGTGTCCCCTAATAGTTAAGTTCACCTTCTGAGGAAACAGAAATGCCTTTTTTGCAACTGAGCCCTTGTCTTGTGAGTTAATCATGTGTCTCACTCACATGCAGTTTTGCCAAAGGTGTGAGGAAGAGGCCCTCTCGTCCCCTCAAAGTGATTAAGGGGGACCGACTCCAAATCTCAAGTTCTTTGTGGGGAAATGGTACTTTTCAAGCCACAATTTTGTTAGAAGAATTTGGGCAGTGTCTGATGTGGTTACCCTGTGAGATGATGTGACTGCCGGTCTTTCTCTGTACACCTTTGCTTCCGTGAATGGGTAGCAGGGCTGTGAGTGCTGGGGGACAAGGACCAGATGTGTTCGAATAGAACACCAGCCTGGCCGCTCCCTTTCTGCACTGCTGCGCAGCCGTGCCCATTTCCAGGGTTGAGAGAGGGCTTGGGCACTACTAAAGAGATCACAGGGCCTCCGCCTCATCCTCACCCAAGCCCTTTGCTGGGAACTAGGCTAAACCCTCCTTGGTGCAGGGTCTCAGTTTCTGAACGGAAAGGCACTGCTCCCTAGGCATAGGCCACACTGGAGAATCCTGGCCCATGGAGTGCCTCATAAATAGTAGCACAGTAGCGTACCGCGGCCCCACACCTAACACACCGGCTGTTTCCATGCCACTGACAAAGGCACACTTACGACCTCCCATTTTGTGTCTCTGGAAGCATTCTGAAGACCCTCGGGAAAGGAATCTTATGGGTGGGTGTTAGAGGGACATTTACTGTTTATTCAAAAAATTTTTAATTATCTTAATTTTTATGTCACATTATGGTTTGTGTCTGTATGTCCCCTTATTTAAATTTTTTAAGTTATGTAGTAAAATCAACTAAAGCATATCCTGTGCTTGTAAATCTGGGACACCTGACACACTGAAGTTTTAACTGGGGAGTCAGAATTTCTGCCTTTCAGATGACTCCCCCACGCCCCAGCCCCACAGGTTAGGGCTGGTGTGAAATCGTGCTAGGGGATGAGAGCGAGCCAGGTGGCATTACAGACAGCGCATGCTGCCCGGGGGTACCTGTGACTGGTCTGTTCTTCTTCGTAGGTTCTCGGCGAGATGACTGAGCTACTCTCCTCCTGCAGAAACTATGATAACTACCGGCGAGCCTATGGGGAATGCACCCGCTTCAAGATCCCCATCCTGGGGGTGCACCTCAAGGACCTCATTTCCCTGTATGAAGCCATGCCTGACTACCTGGAGGACGGGAAGGTGAACGTCCACAAGCTGCTGGCCCTGTACAATCACATCAACGAACTGGTCCAGCTACAGGAGGTGGCCCCACCCCTGGAGGCCAACAAGGACTTGGTGCACCTGCTGACGGTAAGGGTCACTCTGGAGAGCTACAGAGCACCTTCTGTTGCAGGTGCCATGCTATACCCATTACCAAATGTTCACATCTTTAATCCTCATAAAAACTTCGTAAAGTAAAAGTACTATATCTCCACTTTGTGGATGGGATACTGAGGCACAAAGATATAACTTGTCAGAGAACCACATATTATTAAGTGACGGAGCCTTGACTCAGACCCAGGTGGGAGGACTTCAGAGGATTTCTGTTAAGCATTGTACCCTTGGACTTTGAGGGATGTTTCCCTACAGTAGCACAAGTAGTGACGCTCTCTCTAGGAGGAGCTGATCGTAAATCTGGATTTAAGAATTGGTAACAGCCGGGCATAGTGGCACGTGTCTGTAATCTCAGCACTCGGGAGGCTGAGGCAAGAGGATCGTTGTGAGTTCGAGACCAGCCTGGGCTACAAAGTGAGCTCAAGGCCAGCCTGAACTGCATAGCGAGACCCTGTCTCAAAAAGACCAAAAAAAAAAAAAAAAAAGAATTGGTAACAGATAGACTGTGTGCTCTTTAAAAAAAAAAAATGGCAAAGCAGTGAGTTAGAACAAAACAACACAACACAACAGATTTATTCTTTGGGTCCTGCCACCACTGGCTGAATGAGACATTCAGACCAGCGGTAGCCAAGCACTTTTCAGTGGTATGGAAACTAGGATTTGGGTGTGGGTGAGCCAAGTTTCCTTCGAGACCTGGGACCCTGGCTCGCCAGTTGGTGACTGTGGACCCACACACTCCATGTCAGTTTCCTCCTCTGTAACCTGAGAGGGGTTACTCCCTGGCAGAATTTCTCAGTTCTTTTAGTTCTAAAGTTAACCTGTTTCTTTTAGGGGGAAATGGAATAATGACCACATCTTCTTCCTGCCTCGCAGGAGCATTTTGATAAGAGTCCCATGCTTCATATCTGGCTGGTGCCTACTCTTGCTGTTCTAGCCCTTTCGCTTAGGCCAGGTGACCTTGGCAGATCTCCATGTAAGACATTATCAGCTCTGTGCAGAGGCTTAGATAGTAAATCATGGATATTAAATCAGTTTTAGAAAGTGCACCTTGGGACTTGTCCAGGGTTTACATTTTAACAAAAAAAGAACTAAACCTTTCCCTACTATAGTAGCAGGTGTTACACAGGCCAGACTAAATCGTAGAAACAAACTGCTAAACACCAAGATTAAACTACTGAAGAGGAAGCAAGATAGACGTATCAGTCTTAGGAAAGGCAGACAGCATCCTAGCAGTTAACCTTACTCTGCTTTGATCTAGTTATCCCTGGATCTGTACTACACTGAAGACGAAATCTATGAACTGTCTTATGCCCGGGAACCAAGGAACCACAGAGCCCCGGTGAGTTGCTCACACTGATCCTGTGTGACGCCTGCGCTCCCCAAATTTGTGCGTCCTAAAGAACAGACTTAGTTTAGTAGGCATATTACTTCCACACGTGCCCGACCTTGTCCTAGGAACAGACTTCTCAACACTGTGAGGCACATCGTTGCTGATGGCAAAGTGCTTGTGATCTAGGCGAAGGGACAGCCGTGTGAACACGAAATAATGATGTGCCGTGTCAGACGGGGTGGAATCAAACACCAGAGTGGCAACCTGCACCTGTTTAGAATTCACCCCACATAAGCTGTTTCATGATTTTTGATGTTCAAAGGACAAATATACGTACTAATCAAAAACTACACTTCGGAAGATTTCCACTTTGTTCAGTGGAAAAGCCCAGTATCTTGTGATACTCTGGGTTGAAAAGAGGGGTCTGCTGGTTCTTCTGCTCAGAAACTCAAAATAGCCCTTAGCCCTAGTGCTGTACTCAGCAGGAAGCTCATAGGTTATCTCCCCTGCCTTCCCTAAGGCTGGTAAAATCCTCTGAGTCTCCTGGGAAGACTCCCAGCCCAGAACAAGTGGTATTCCAGGGGTGAGGTGCTGCCCATAAGAAATCCAGCTGACCTTTCAGGTGGCTGTTTCACTGCCTCTATACCAAAAGAGCAAGTTTTAGCTTCCCAATTGTAATGAAAGTGGGTTCACTGGAAATATGTAGCATATTAAACTTCCACAGTGCTAGCGGCATTCTAATGAAAAGGTTCATTGCTCCTGTTTTTAGAAGAGATTTTAATTTGGATCAAATTTCAAATGTTTACAAATGGATTCTATCTCAACTTGTGCAGCTTCCAAGTTTTTCCTGTGTCTTTGCCTTTTAACCAGTTTTTTTCTCAGCTACCTCTACTAAAAGATGACCAGAGGCCAGGCATTATGGCCCATGCCTGTAATCCCAGCACTTGGGAGGCTGAGGCAGGATTGCCACAAGTTCAAGGAGAGCCTGGGTACATAGTGAGTTCAAGGCCAGCCTAAACTACGTAGTGAGACACTGTTTCAAAAATAAAAAGAGGCTAGAGAACACAGAAGACATTTCATTTATACAGACCACTAGATAGCTCTGACAAGAGTTTTAATGGACAGGGAATTGAAACCCAGGCACACTGAGGACTTTAAACTATCTGGAGCTGGAGATAGTATGTATGAAGACTTTGGAAACAAAAGCTCAACACCTGTGTTAGTCAGTACTCCAGGACAGATTTCAATTCCGCATGTGCTGCCTGCTCCCCGACTGCAGTCAGAGTGATCTGCCTGTGGGACTGCTGGGCTCCAGGAAGGAAAGGCGCTGTCAGTTATAATCTTGCATCACAGTCATGAGGGTTTCTCTTCGTGTTTCACCGTAGCCGCTAACACCTTCCAAGCCACCGGTGGTGGTAGACTGGGCCTCCGGAGTATCACCCAAACCTGACCCGAAGACCATCAGCAAACATGTGCAGCGGATGGTGGACGTGAGTACAGTTGTCAGGACACAAAGGGCAGGCACATCTGGCTTGGTGTGGGGAACAGAGCGCTCCAAACACATGTGAGAAAGTCGGGACCCGCTCCCAGAGGAACCATTTCTCGTACTGTGGCTCCTGGTGGCTACAGTTCGGCAAAACCTTTTTGGTCTCATATGGGGCAGGTTTGACTGCTCTTAAAGACCTAGCAGATCATTTGTTTAAAAATCATTGAGTGGAGGTAGAAAGATACTGGGAAGTCTGAGTTTCGTATGGTTATGGTTAAAGGAATGGAAATCGAAACGTTACGGCACTACTGGACTCACTTCCCCGGGCTGCTCTGAGGAGAGTAGGCACTTACAGACATCCAGCCTTGATTATGGTGGGCCACGCTCATGTGACAACACAAGACTAAGCAGAAATGGGAACAGAGGAGCACGGGCTGCTCACAAGCTTCCCCGAGGAGGTGCAATCTGAGCTGAGCAGCAGAGGGGCCGGGTCTGGGAACCTCCCTCCCCCTCTGCAGGGATCTGGTGGTAGGCACAGCCCGGGTTGGTGCAGCAGGTGCTAATCGTGGAAGGCACAAACGCCTGGGACGTGACCTGCCACATCTGCGCATCAGCTTACGGAGTGCACTTCTGTGTTCCCCTTATTCAGGCTTTAAGAGCCTTTTACCTATCTGCCCCAGCCCCTTTGTTGTTTAACTAGGAAAGAACAGACTGGTTTCTCCTTCATAATCACCAAAAAAACTCCTCTTTCACAGTCTGTCTTTAAAAACTATGATCATGACCAGGATGGATACATTTCTCAGGAAGAATTTGAAAAGATTGCTGCAAGCTTCCCGTTTTCCTTCTGTGTGATGGACAAAGACAGGTGAGGATGCGTGGGTATGAGCCCACTGGTGAGAGCAGGTCTACAGATGCATCCCCAGGAACATGTAAGTAGTGGTGTGTTTATAGCCATCAAGTGAAGGCCTCTCTGCCTAGTTTGGACCACAAGAGACTATGACATTTAGATGCTTTATAACTCACAACTGAAGAGTCCAAAAACCTACCAATTTAGCAAACAGCCAACTACAAATAAGTTTAGTGTTCTTTCTTGCTTTGTCCTTACAGATTATGGAAAATAATGTTAATGCTTTCTGTCCTTAAAATTATATATATTGTTTTAATTATGAGAAGTCACATGTATGGCTACTGGGACCTAGTTATTTTTATTTTTATTTTATTTTTTAGGGGGGGACCTAGTTAAGTATTTTCTACAGTTAGAAACTGTAGCACAGGTATTTCCCTCCCTATACACAAATTTCACATCATTTCAACCCTTGCAGTTAGTGGTCAGGTTAGTTGGGAAAACCTAGTTTGGCCAAAGAACACCTGTGAGGGTGAGTCACGCTGCCTCACCCCGTTTTACATGCTGTCCTCTAACCTTCCTGTGAGGGTGTTCCTGGAAGCATCCGCGGGCAGTACGGACTGTAGTGGCACTGCCACCTTCCCCTCACTCACATCCTTGCTTGCTGTGTGCTGGCAGGGAAGGCCTCATCAGCAGGGACGAAATCACGGCCTACTTCATGAGGGCCAGCTCCATCTACTCCAAGCTGGGCCTGGGATTTCCTCACAACTTCCAAGAGACCACCTACCTGAAGCCCACTTTCTGTGACAACTGTGCTGGATTTGTAAGTTGTCCCTGGAGTGCATCAGGGTGGAACTAAAGGCCAGGAATAAGAAGGGCACAGACCTCACAACCCTCATGCATTCATCCCAGCTTAGAGCCCAAGCAAACACCCAGAAGGACCCAGTCCTCAGGCGGGTAGACTTCACTTCCATTCACTTTGCCTGATTTTTTCCTCCCTGGTACATTAGGCCTGGTGTTATTAGTACAGAAATATTGAATTCTGCATATATTTTTTCAAGTATTCAATATACTGTTTCAAATGTTAGAAAAAAGAATTATGAGGTATCTTCCCTTCCCTTCAGAAGACACTGTCTTGAAGAGACCACCTCAGCTTTGCCCCTTCTGTCTCACCACGGCCAAGAATTTTCCTAAGCCCACATTCCTGACCAGAGAGACTCTGTCCGAATGGAGTCTGCAGGAGCCTGTCAGGTGTGTGATTCATCCATTTCAGGTCTACAGAAGACCTAGTCATAAAGCCACTACAGTGAGCTTCTGGAGAACATTTGACTCTGGTGACCACAAATATTTCCTGTTTTCAGTTAAAGGTCAGGACAAGACATTCAAGAGATAAACTTGAGCTAGGGAATGAACAAGGGAAAATAAAGCATGGATGTCAGTTTGAAGCCTCACGCCAGATAATGACATGTGGTGCACTGTCTCGTTTGTCTCGTAGCTCTGGGGAGTGATCAAACAAGGATATCGATGTAAAGGTAAGTTAGCACTGGCCACTGCGTTGTTTTCCCTGGTCTGAGAGGCTCACTTTTACCCACTGCAGTTGTCCATTCAGTCCACAACTTCATGGCGGATTTCAGAGCCTCATCTCCAAACTAGCTTCCCAAGAGCACCTGAGCGTGACGGACACTGTACGGGAGAGGGCTGCCTGGGGGGCCGGTTCAGCAGTTTCCCTGTACAAGACCTTCTCTCTGCCTTGGTTGACTTGGAAGTAGAGATGGCATAGAGGAGACTGAGCTCCTGTATAGTCACGAAAGTGAAAAGGACTGAGTCACTCTGAAACAAGATAAATGATTACTAAAGGTCTTTGTCCTCTTTCCTTTTATCAGTGATTCACGGATGTAAGTGCCCTTCCTTGTGAGTAAGACAGTTAAAGAGTAGGGGAAAGAAGACCTTGTACTGTAAGGAAGAAAAAGTAAGACCTAGCAGCTGGGCACTTCCGGAGGGTCTCCCTAGAGTAGGGCAGGTATACAGGATGACCAGGATACCATCTTTTCCCTCCAGGATAGCAGGTGCTCCTTCAGATTACGACACTCGGTGGTAAGGGTTAAGACAGGCCTGTGAGGCAGGGGTTTGCCAGGGACAGTGCTAGGTCACTGGAAATGTTGGGTGAGGTCAGCTGTAGAAGAGAGCACGGACACACCTGACAGGAGAGCACTGTGTGAATTGGTGGTAAGACCTACAGAAGAGAGGTGAGACTTCCTGACCAAAGTGTCTTGTCCACAGACTGTGGGATGAACTGCCACAAACAGTGCAAAGATTTGGTGGTGTTCGAGTGCAAGAAGCGAACCAAAAACCCAGCAGCTCCCATGGAGAACACCTCCCTGGCACCAACAGCCAACCTTTGCTCACTGGGAGGTAGAGATCTGCTCCATGGTAAGTAGACACTGGGAATGTTCCTCTTGGAAAGTACACAGAAAAGGGCAAAAATTTGGGGGCAGGAGAGATAACCACGTGTCTATGTCTGAGTTAACCTTGAACTCTATTCCCGACCCCTCCCACACCTAGACTTTGGCTGGAACAGCAGTGCAGGTTAGGCCTAAAAGTCAGCACATGTTCATTGGGCACCTACACCAAGTACACATACTGACTTCTGCCAAGATTGTGCCCAAATTAACAGTTGTCCTACTCCATCCCCAACTCAAAACAGTGATAGGGAGTAAGTGTGTGCTTTTGTATGTAATGTGTATATTATAACATACACAATATATGGAATGTAGACAGCATATTAAAAGGCATAGCTGTATTGAGAACCAAAGAGTAACGTCTCCACAGATCAGAAGTGTACCACGAACAATAAGGAGTGGAAGCTGAATCCACAGGTCTTCATGATTCCATTTCCAGAAACATGCAGCTGCGAATCTGGTTTCTGCACAGTAACAGAGACCAACTATGCATGAAGGGTGAGCAAACCAAACTCACTGCTTGTAGCTCATGAGGATCCTGGAAAAGTCATTGCTGTCACACCTAGCAGCAAGAAGCATACACTGGATGAGTGGCTACCTGTGATGCCACTAATTTTCTTCCAGGAGAAGAATCTGAACCCATTAATTTACAACCAGGTTCTAGACTGGGAATCGTCAGAGGCTAGGTGGAGGTAACTGTCAACGTTCTAAAACACAACAGTAAATGCAGGGAGGACATGGAGGAAGACGCCTATGCAATACAAGCCTGCAGATTAAAATTTCAAATCCTGCAAGAAAACTCTTAGGACTAAACTGAAAAAAGTTAAATAGTCAAGAGATAAATTGGGCTGGCCATGGTGATGCAGGCTTATAATCTCAGTGCTCAGGAGGCTGAGGCAGGAAGATCATGAGTTTGAGGGCAGCATGGGTTACATAGTGAATTTAAGGCAGATTTTATATATATATATATGTATATGAATAACAGTGATTGTAAATATTATTTAGACTCCCAGGAAGAAAGGACTGCCTCTGTCTAGTTAGAGCATTAGAAACAATGCAGGAGGGTATGTGCTATAAGCCACATAGGCTACAGAGACACAAATGACAAATATACAACAGAGAGCACGCCCTGTCCTTTTGGTGAAGACTTCATGGAAAAGGTTGGAAGTTCAGCGAAGTCGTGAAGGAAGGGAAATACTACGTCATGAGTGCTCCCTGGGACTCCCACTGAAGAAGTTAAGAGAAACACTCTGGCTGTCCTCTACCCCAGCAAGGGAGACTCAGAGGAACTGCACCAGCTCCAAATGGGATGCATTCCCACTAACCCTGCATAATGACAGGTGGAAGAGCTAGGGAGATCCCCAGCCATCACCCTGGCCCTGCTTCTGTCCCTGGGAGTGCACAGCCAAGGGAAGCCCTGAGACAAATTTTGCCTGGATCCAGACACAAGCCATTCCTCCTCCTGCCTGTGGGCACTTCAGCTGAAACAAGAGACAGTGGGTCTTTGTGACTCGGATGCCTTACACATCGTGCCTAAACTCACTATCACAGCCAGAGATGCTTTGGGGAAACTACGCTGCAGTTCCTAGCTAAAAATAAAGCTAACACTGTGTAACAAACCAATCACCCAAGATGCTACACTTCCATAAGATGAGCAAATTTCAATGTAGGAACACAAGAAATATGAAAAGGTAACATGATACCTGCAAAAGATCATAACTCTACTAACAGATAGTGAAGATACTAAAATGGATGAAATACCTGATAAAGAATTCAAAACAATGATTTTTTACAAGTCAGTGAGCTCGAAGAGAATACAAATAAATTAAATGAATTAGGCAGACAGTGCAAGATACAAATGAGAAATTCAGCAAAGGCAGATATTTTGAAAAAAGAACCAAACCGAAGTCTTTGAAATGAAAGCTCAATAATTCAATTAAAAACTCAGCTGAAAACCTCAACAATGGACTACATGAAACAGAAGAAGGAATATTGGAACTTGAAGACAAGTCTTTTGAAACAACACATTCATACAAAAAAAATGACAGCATTCAGTATCTTTAGAACACTATTAAACAATACCTACATCATTGGAATCCCTGAATGTGAGGAAATAAAAGTTAAGAAATGGATAGAAACCTACTCAATGAAATGGCACCAAAAAACTTCCCTATCTTGGGAAAGACATGGATATCCATGTAAGGGAAACTTTTACAATCCCAAATAGGCATAACACAAAAAGAACTTCCTTCATGATACAGGACAGCCAAAACCAAAAAGTATAGGACAAAAAAAATTTTTTTTAACTTGCAAGACAAAAGGACCAAGTTACATTTAAGGGCAACCCCATTAGACCAACAGATTTCTCAACAGAAACCCTGTGGGCCAGTAGGAAATCAAATGATGTATTCTAACTTTTGAAAGAAAATAAATACCTAAATGCCAACTAAGATTACTATTCCCCACAAAGGCTGTCCTTCACAGATGAAGGAGAAAAAAAGAACTTCCAAGATAAGCAAAACCTCTGGGAATTCAGGACCAACAGGCCATCCTTACAAAAGATGCTTTAGGGAGTCATGTATCTAGAAATGAAAGAAAGGTAACTACTAAAGAACAGATATACAGAAGTGAAACAGAAAAGAACCAAACATTACCAGTACTGTAAACTACCATATCATGAGGATGATTAAGTGAGGAGGAAAAGACCAAAGAATGTTTAAAAACTGACAAGCATTAAATGCATACCTTTCAGTGATAACCCTAAATGTACTGTAATTCAGATGAATGGATTAAAAAAACAAAACCCAACAATATGCTGTCTACACAAAGCTCATTTCACAGATACACACAGACTGAAAGGATGGAAAATGATATTCCAAGCGAAAGGAATCCTAAAGTAAGAGTAACTATTCTTATAGCTGACAAAATAAGACTTCAAGACAAAAAAAAACATGAAAGAAGCTCATTAGATAATGATCAAGAGATCAGTTCATCATAAGACATGATTGTAAATCTATTGGCACTAATATCAGAACTCCAATTTTATAAAACAGTCATACCTAAGGCAAAAGATAGGTTCCAATACAATAATGGTGAGGAATTTCAATACCCTACCCTCATTAATAGATCATCTGGACCAAAAAAAAACCACCACCAACAACAAACATCCTGATTATACTACAGATAAAATGGACTTAATAAACATCTACAGAACAGTCTATCCACTAGCCGCAGATAATAAACATTTCATCAGCATGTGGAACTTTCTGTAAAACAGACCAAATTTTAGGCCAAAAACAAATTTAAAAATGAGCCATTTCCTCTATCTTTTCTGGTCACAATGAGATGAAACTACAAATCACTCACAAGAGGAACTTTAAAGATTACTCAAATACTTGGAGTCAGAACACACTTTTAAACATGGATCACTGAAGAAGTCAGAATTTAAAACTTTTTTTTTTTGGTACTAGGAATCGAACTCATGACCTCAAGCTTGCCAGGCAAGCGCTTATGCTGCTGAGCTATATCCCCAGCCCAAATTTAAAACTTCTTGACTGAAAACACAACATACCAAAGCCTGTGGGATGCAGCAAAAGCAGCACTAACAGGGAAGTTTATAGCAATGAGTGTCTACATAAAAAAAATAAAATGGAAATAATAAACTGGAAATAATAATATGGCACTCAAAAAAAGTCCCTCATAAATGAAATGTTTATTATCTGCAGCTAGTGGACTGGTGTTTCACTGGTGAATTTTATCAAATTTTTTAAAGAAAGAGAACTAACACAGATGCTTTTCAAAGTTTTCCCTAGAATTGACAGGGAGGGAACCTTTCCAAACTCATTTTATCAGGCCATCCTTTAACTTGTTACCAAAATCTGACAAAGATAAAACAGAAAAAGAAAACTACAGACCAGTATCCTTGATGAACACAGATGCAAACTCAACAAAATGTTAGCAAATTGAACTCTAGGGTGCATCAAAAAGATTATGCACCATGACCAAATTAGTTTCATTTCTGAGACACAAGAATAAAAATCATGTGATCATCTCAGTCAATATAGAAAAATCATTTGGTAAATTTTTATATCTCCAAAAACAAAAAAGTTCTGGACAAATTAGGTATAGGAGGACCATACCTCAACATAATAAAAGCTTTATATGGCAAACTCCAGCCAGCTTTATACTGAAGGAGGAAAAAATGACATTTTCTCTAAAATCAAGAAGACAAGTTATCCAATCTCACTGTTCTTGTACAATACAGTATTACAAGTTTTAACCAGAACAATGAGGCAAGAGTTAGAAATAGAAGGCATTCAAATAAAAGGAAGAAATCAAATTATCTCTGCTTACAGATGATAAGATTCTACACATAGAAACACCTAAAGACTCAACCATCACTACTTGAATTAATAAATTACTTCAGTAAAATGCAAGAATACAAAATCAGTGGGTTTTCTGTACACCAAAAATAAAATTGTTAGAAATCATGGTAAGAATCCTATTCACAATAGAGATACACATACATACCACACCTAGGAATAAACAAAACTAAGAAAGCAAAAGACCTCTTCAGTGAAAATTACAAAACACTGATAAAGACACTAAAGAACAGGCAGATCCCTCATGTACATGGATTGAAAGAACTGTTGAAAGGGCCACACAGGAATACCACAGTGATCTGAGGATTCCGTGCAATCTCCATCAGGTGCCAATGACATTCTTCACAAAAGTAGGGGGACGAAAAGGTGAAAATTCATATGGACTCACAAGACACCTCCAAGAGCCAAAGCAGTTTTAGGTAAAAAAAAAAGCAGAGCTGGAGCAATCACAATACCCGATTTCTAATATGCAACCAAGCCATGGTCACCAAAACAGCATGGCACTGGCATAAAAAGACACATACACCAATGAAACAGAATTAAAAAATCCAAAATTAACCCAGACAGCTATAGGTATCTGATTCTAAAAAACATATACTGGGAAAAAGACAGCCTCTGCAGCAAATGGTGCTGAGAAAACTGAGTATCTACATGAGGAAGACTGAAACTCAACTCCTCACCCTGAACAAAAATTAACTCCAAATGAAACAAAGACCTTAATTTAAAGCCTAAAACTCTACAACTATTAAAAATAGGAGAAACACTTCAAGAGATTGGTACAGGCAATAGTTTTTTGCACTTCAAAAGCACAGATAACAAAAGAAAAACGCGACAAATGGGTTTACATCAAACAAAAAGCTTTTGCACAGCAAAAGAACAGTGAAAAGATAACAATGGAAAAAATGTTTACTAGCTGTTTATCTGACAGAATCAACATCTAGAATACATAGAAAACTCAAAAAGTTAACAAAAACAAGCACCAGAGATGGTGGGACATATGCACCTATAATCTCAACACTCTGGGAGGTGGAGCAGGAGGATTGCAAATTCACACCTGGGCCAGGCAACTTAGGTTGTGTCTGGAAATTTAAAAACTGTACAAAGGCTGTGGCTGTAGCTCAGTGCAAAGGTCTAGGGTTCAAACCATGGAAACCACAAAGGGAGGGAAAAAGAAAACAAACAGTATGATGCCAGTGTAAGAAATTGGCAAAAACCCCTATGTAAAAATGGGCAAATGATCTAAAACACTTCTCACAATGATTAGTCACTAAATATATGAAGACATGCTTAATATCTTGGCCATCAGAGGATTGCAAACCTACACTAGAAAGCAATATTAGAATGGGTGCTATAAAAGAAAAATAACTGCTAACTAGGAGGATACAGGGGAAAAGGAATCATAACTATTGGCAAGCATGTAAATTAGTATGGCCACTTCAGAAAATAGTATGGAGTTCCTCTAAAAATAAAACTTTCAGATGATCTAATTTTCCTATTCTTGGATATACAGCCCCTGCAAACAACAAATACCTGTACACCCATATTCAGTGTGTCACTATTCATAAATAGCTAAGATACGGAATCAGCCTATGTGCCCATCAGGGGATAAGTGGATAAAGAAAATATGGCATATATAGACAATGGAGTATTACTAAGCCATAAAGAAAAATGAAATCCTGTTCTTCACAGCAAGAATAGATGAAACTTGAAGACTCATGTTAAATAGAATAAGCCAGACACAACTATCACATGTTGCCTATCAGATGTGGAAACCTAAAAAATCAACCTGAAAATACGACAGTGAATACTAGGAAGTGCGAAGGGTGTCAGTGGGAAGGGAAGTGGGGGAGCATCTGTGTTCATCAAGGTCAGTGCATGTTGTATGTATATATTGAAATGTCACATGAAATTCCAGTAATATATGTGCTTAATATGTTAATTTTAAAAAGCAGAAAATAGATTCAAAAAGCAACCACCCATAACACTCCTCCAAAAAATGTAATTATTTTAGAGTGAATAACTTGTTTAAACATTCTAGTACTTAAATAATATAAGATTATAATTTTGGGCTTTATGTGGATAAATATTAAATGCTAATTTAAAAATCATGTTCTGCTTGAGGAAAAAAAATGCAATGAGGATCAATTATAAGGTTCGTAGTACAGGGCAGTGTATTTACACTGTCGGGTGTACTTCTTTTCCTTCATTTACTTGGCCCAAACTTGCTCTGCACAGCCTGTTTCTTTTCTTACCTTTAATAAAACTTTGCTACCATTAAAAAAAAAAGATTTCTAGTGCATTATTAGAATTATGGATTCTAGTTATAGATGCTAGAAAACTTAGTAGAAGGAAAATATAAAAATTTTAGTACAAATGCATGCTTTTTTAAAAAGTACTTCTCTTACATAATCATTTCAATCTCTAAACTCTGAAAGCTATTTTTTTCACCCCCATTTAATGAATTAATCACTCCATAATCTGTGTATTAATGATGTATAGGTTCTAGTGACTTTTCAAAAACAGAATTACGCTAAATTTTTGAAAACAGAAAACTTCGATGATCTGTTGTTAATCTTAAAAGCCTACCACCCACCTCAATACATCTGCTCTTTCTTTACTTTTCCAGGAAGTTACTCCTTATGGTTAACTCTCCCAGGCTGGACTCTGGGCAGGGGTATTAGTGTAAGGAACAAAACCAGACCAACTCATCCTTCCTTTCCTCTATCAGTGTCACTTGAGGTCAATACATTTTGGAATAGACTTCCACAAAGTTGGAAGCTGTACCCGTTACACAAATGGGTCCCACAGGGCTGCTGCTGTCCGCTAGAGGGTACCTGTATCAGGACAGACTTGAGGAGGAAGAGCTTCCAAACCTAAGTCCACAGACAGTAATTTATGGAACACTTTCCTCTATATATTGATCCTGCTCTCCTTAATTGGTGAAAAGCTTCAACATTGAGGCAGGAATTACAACTTGCCTGTAGAAACAGTAATCCTCTAGGCAACCTCTGGGCAAACACTAAATGATGCCTTTTCCTCGGGGCGGACACATCTAGTACCAGTCGCTGTGGGTTGGCCAACAAAAGTCCTGGATTTAAGCCTTTGCTGTCTCAACATTGGATGGCTGAACATGAGTGGTATATGAAAATGCAGAGCTCCTGTAATAGAAAGGAAGGTCTCATTTTAAATTAACGTGAGAGTATTGGCTGTCTGCTTCTCTGAGAGTGTAACACTTCATGCGTCTCCCTACAGCACCCGAGGAAGGGTCTTTTACATTCCTAAACGGGGAGGCTGTGGAACACAGTGAGGAGAGTAAGGATCGGACCATCATGCTGATGGGAGTATCCGCACAGAAGATTTCTGTTCGGCTTAAGAGGACTGTTGCCCACAAGACTACCCAGACTGAATTGCTACCTTGGATTGGCAGTGAGGCCCCTTCTGGTCACTTCGTGCTGTCCTCTCCAAGGAAGACAGCCCAGGACACCCTTTATGTACTTCCCAGTCCTACATCTCCATGCCCCAGTCCAGTCTTGGTCAGAAAGCGGGCATTTGTCAAGTGGGAGAATAAAGAGTCCCTCATAAAATCAAAAGAAGAGCTCCGTCATCTCAGACTCCCAACATATCAAGAGCTGGAACAGGTACCTTTCTTTTAATTTCCCTTTTTTCTAGACTGTCTTAGAGAAGTACAGCTAACCAGAGAATACATGGGCTAAAGATTGAGAAGATTCAAATCAAGTTGATTTTGGCTGGGTAAAGGAACATTAAAAAAACAGGAAAGAGGGAGGGAGGGAGGAGTAATGTTATCAATTACAGACAACTTTAGCCATTTTAGAGACAAGAAAGCAAGGATATATTAGTTTTAACATTAACATTCATTTTAACAAAGGAGAATGCTTGCCTATCTGTTTCCTAAAACATCAAGGTTTGCACTGTGTGTTTGGAGACCTATCAGTAAAAACTTGTAACGCAGCATCCACCTACTTACAATTCCTTATATGATTCTACCTACCACACGACAGAATTGCCCACGAGGCCTCAGGATTCCCTGCACTTCCTCAAAATTGCACAACCCCCACCCCACAGCCCTGTCAGACTCCCATGTATGGAGTTAGACAAATATTTGAAAACAAAAGCTAGATTGTATACAGTGTGAAACTTGAAGAACGTATGAAGCAAGTCTTGCTCTAAATATTTCTATCATGTGCTTTAGGAAAGAAGTCAATCAGAGGATGATCAAACGTGGGCTACATAAAGCTTTGTGTCTTTAAGGGTAAAAACTAGCAAAGACAACTTTTAAGAAAAATGAAAGAAACTTTGAAAAACGAACTTGATAAAGGAGAAAGGATTTCAGTGTTGAAGGCATTTTCCAATCCCAGATGTTCTTATGCCAGCTATTACAGTCTATAACCTAATTGATCTTCTGTAGATACAGTACTAGGATTCCACACTAAGGGTTCAAATTTTGAAATTTGACATGTTTAAGAAAAAGAAAAAAAGTCCCGCTGGCAGTAATGCTGTGAGGGGATGACAGAAAGATTTAAAATGAATTAAGTCCAGAATTATTCCTACCCACTTTTACCAGGCCAGTAAACCCTCTTCCTAGTTGCCTTTTTACTTTTATCAATGTCAAACAGACCTAAAAACTAAAATTCACTATATATGTTTTAGAGGAACAATATGTCCCACTTTTCAGTTAAGTAAAATCTTTATGACTTGTCTATAATTCAGTAGTCCTATCCATAAAAATTAGTCAAACAAGTACTTAAAACAATGTAATACAAAAATATGAAGTATAAATATATATTACATGTTACTTTGGTGTATGTGTACCTGAGTCAGCTTGGGACAAAGGCAAACAATGGCCCTTCGGTCAGATATATATACCTGGATTCAAATCCTGTCTGAAATTACATGGCAACATTTTCTGCTTCTATAACATCACCTATTTTCAAGGTACAGGTGAAGGCTAAGATATTTTATTACCATGTAACAAAGCAGCAGGCACACAAGTGCTCAATATTACATGATACCTAATAGCGAGCAGTAAGTAATTTAAGCTGAGGAACAACCCCAATGTGTCTCCAGTTATCCAGAAGTTGCCCATATATTTTTGGTGTAATTAGGGTGGCATAATATAAGAACACTAGCCTTGAAATCAACTGATGGCTGTATAATTAAATTGCTGCAAACTGGATCACTACCTCTCAGTCTGTGGGCACAGGATAAAAATATCAAAAATGTACATTAAGTTTCAGTGACATGGTAGGAAAAACAGGTTAAATGAACTATAGCAACTCGTATCGCAGAATTTTCAAGCACTACTTTCATGGCTCAGACCTGACCAGACTGTTTATACCAAGTTAAGATCTGCTACACAATATCCAAAGGTTTTGTCATCTTCTACCCACTGGCCAGGAATGGTTTATTCTGCCTGGCAGCCACTTACATCTGTGATACCACAACGAAGACTTAACTGCTGTGTGCACATGCTCATTTAATATTTAACATGTTATTTTCTATTCAGTACAAAATAACTATTTTGAATGTTTTAAATTCCCAACCACAGTGAATAGGAAATGCCAATCAATTGTAATACTCTCAATATTGTAACTGATTTGCTAATCATTGTTGTTTTGTTAATGTATATATTCCCTTTCCCTTTAGGAAATAAATACCCTGAAAGCAGACAATGATGCCCTAAAGATCCAATTAAAATTCGCACAGAAGAAAATAGAATCCCTTCAGCTTGAAAAAAGCAATCACGTCTTAGCACAGATGGAACAAAGTGACTGTTCTTAGCTAGAAACTCAAGGAGCATAACCTGTGGATGAGTACACCAGAGCTCTCATTTCCTCAGCTGATGAACACAAAGGCCGGGGCAACTTTAGATGGACTATCTAAATGGAGAACTTTAAAAGAGAAAAGCCACTTCCTGTTTTGTTTTTTAAAACTAAAAGTCTCCTAATGTACAGTATTGTTTTCTCTTTCAGTCAGCTGACTCACACTAGAGGAAAGCTGAAGGATGCAAAACTTTTCATGTTCCATACTAGTTTATTTTTCTTTCTAGAATAGCAAAAGTGTCCTAAAACATGACTATAGTTTCCTAACAAGGTAGTGTCCTCTATGGCCTTTTGACTGATTCTTAAAACTAAAATTTCTGGAAAATGAATTGGCTTTTTCTCTGGGTTTTCTACCAACTGAGGGATTTCCTTTGTTCCACAAAGTTTTACTGATAATGAAAAAATACCCATATTCCAAAAGTAGATGGGGGGCTGGGGATTTAGCTCAGCCGCACAGCACCTGCCTGGCAAGTGCAAGGTCGTGAGTTTGATTCCTGGTCCTGGAGAAAAACAAAAACAAAAACAAAAACAAAAAACAATAGTAGATTGACTTGTAAGTCCCAGCATTGTTTTTGTATCTGACTCCTACTTCACTACCTCAAATCTAATCATTCGCCTCTTTCTCCTCCCTCGACACTATGCCACACACACAATCCTGTCTACTTAGAAATGAACTTCTAGAGATGCAGCCCTGGCTTTTTAGTGGTTTATGAAATATGTTATTATCCAGACACAGATTAGTTCTAGTCTTAAAGTTATCATAAAATAAACTCGGTACCTGGAAACATAGCTCTTACCATCTCATACATGACTTGCTAGTTAGCTAAAAATGAGCATAATGTAGACATGTTTGTCCTCACATTCTACAGTGAATAGAATTAGGAATTTATGGTTTTTTAAAGCAAGTCTGTGAAGAGTATTTAACTCTTCATGTTTCAACTTTTTTAAGTACACTTTTTAAAATTCTCTTTTGAACTGATTTGTGCTTAAACTGTCTTCACTATTGATACTACTTAGAGAAATAAGCTAATTGGATCAGCAATGTAAATAATAGCTGACAGCATGTACATATGTATATAATATGTATATACAGTATCAGGCATGCATGTGCTTTAGACTTGTCTCAATAAAATAAATTTTATTGTTTAGCAGAATCGTAAGTAACCAGCCCAGTGTGTATTCTACTATGAAGGTTAATGAATGAACTCAGTCAAGGGCTAGGCAATTATTCACAAACTGACAATCATTTTCTTTTGGGGGAATTTAGCTTCCATACTTGGAAAACCCAGCACAAGGCTGATTTATAATTCATATACAAGGTGGCCAGCTGCCAGGAATATAATCTTAATTGAACGTTTTAAATCTAAAGCCAAAGCACCAAGTCCTCATAAGAATACAAAATATAATAGTGTTGCCTGTTTGCGGAATTCAGATTAAGTTTTTTCATGAAAGATCACTTCCACTTGCATACTTCTTCGTACTAAGTTTTAGTGACACAGAACTTAGGAATGGTTTATTAAATTTTTAAAACTTGCTTCACACATAAATTTATTCTTTTTGTAAATCCAAACTCGGAAATCCTCAAAGCAGGGCTGCTTAGGCCCACCACCTGGAATATATATTTTACTAGCACTATTACTTGATTTATATGGAGTAAGTATGAGCTTATGAAAATGTTACAATTCAAATTTTTCATTATTATTTGCCTCTGACACAGTAAAGAATATACCTCAATTTTAAAAATATAACCAATAAATTTGCTCATACTCTCTATCCAAAATAAAGACCTCAAGGTAGTTTTTATGTAAATAACCTGTAATATGTAGGATTTCAAAAGGTCACAGTTCCCTTAACTAAATTGTCATGGCTAGATACTCTTGGGCACTGAAAAATGTTATCACTGAAATGAATACAAGGCCAAAGTTTCATCACAGATTTTAAAATCCAGCAAGGGCAAAAGTATAATGTTATCTTAATGTTATTTATGTTGTGCTACAGGAGCTAGTGGAATCTACAGAATATTCCTGAAACAAGTTTTTGGCTTACCAAGCTTAGTATGCAAATTAGTGTTTTTCATATTGACTTGAAACAATTTCGGGCAAATATCTATCTGCCAAGACAAAGATAAATCTTGTATTATTAACAATGTCACTTCTCATTTTCTTTGTTAATTAACTCACCTTTTTCACTGACCATTTGTGAATCTGTCTTAAGGTAAATAATGTAAAAGGACTGCAAGAAAAAATGTACAGATTGTAAATTTTTTGATAATGTAAGTTTTCTTCGTGTAATATTTATATGATAAAGACATTAGGATCCCACAACACACGTCTTGTGTTTCTTCTTCATCTGCATGGATATGTATAAACCTCACTTGAAGTTTTACTATTTATGTATGGACTACTCCTCTATTATAGTTTTGTCCTGGAAGCAAAAGCAAAGCAACTAGATTATTCAGTTTGATGTTTTGATATCTTTTGTAGCACAAAGTAACAATACAGAAATACCCACTCTTTTCCCATCCTATAATGATTCATAGTGACCCCCCCCCATTAAGTCTAAAAATATATTAAAGAAAAAATTGACTTGTCATTTCTCTGTGGCTTCTGTCTTTAATTTCAATTCCACCTAAGCTAACTCCCAACTAAGGAAGAAAAAATTGGTAGAAGATGATTAAGTCTAGCATACAGACCCCCTATAGAAACACATGTGTGGTCATAATTTTGAGTGATTTTCTCTTGTTCCCCAGCCAATTTTTCTATTAGCCAAACTCATGGGGAAGGGGTGTTGAACCACTCAGATTCCACTGTGAATGCATTCTGGTATACTTGATGGGAGTGCATTTATCATTTTGACAATTCATAGTATTGCATACAAAAGAGGGAAACTGCACAGACAATCTGACCCTGAAAGAAAAATTAAATTACTTACTCATCTCCACCCCACTGCTCATCCCAAATTCTCTCTACCTTGCGCTCCTTTCAAGGTATAGACAGTATCATTGCTCAGAACATTTTCTGGCCACAAATACTTTCTAGGTTACTGTATCTTTTGTCACATTTACACATAAATAAAATATTGTTTAAACTCTTTTGTCTTTAATGAGGCAAGTTTCTGAAAATCTATAAAATACAAGGAAACATTCAAAGAAATGCCTGTTTCCTTTTTGATTAGCGCTTATGAGGAACTATGAGGCATTTATGTATGGACAGAACTTAGATGCTTTGCATGGCCTGACAGAAGGGTCAGTTACTACTTCAGTCCAGAAACTCCTAGTGAGATCATGTCCATAGGTGCTACTGTATTAGGTGCCACAGGCTGGACAAACAAAGGGAAGGAAATAGAAAGATGGAAAAAAATGAAATTGAGAACCAGGTAAAAAAAAGATCAGGTTATAGGAAGCATTGAAATGCCACTCATCATATTCTACATTTCAATTCCATTCCATTTATAAAAGACTTGCACATTATGAGCTTTCACATTAACCCCCTAACACCTTGATGCCCTTCTAGATGTTGCTCAGCAAACTTTCTGCAGAAATTTTTACTGATAAAAAATTTAAAACCCCGCCTTACAAGAGAGTGAGATATTAATGTCTAGATGGCTGAGTGTTTTATTCAAGAGAGGTGCACAGGAATGTGTAAATAAGAATGGTTCCAACTCTAGCATCAATCTAGAAGTGTGCAATTTAAACTACTATGAGGTATGAAGAAATCTTACAAAAATTCATAGACATATTTATTATAACTTTTAGTGTTAAAAAAATTAACCAGCCTGCTAAACACCAACTGCTGTCTTTCCACTGGTACCAAGTCAGTTTATCTGGCGAGTTTGCTGGATTGCAAAAAGTCACAGACAGGTATGACTCAGTGCCCACAATAAGATACAAATTTTACAAAGGGAGTTAAAAGACAACATAGCTAAACAGAGGAGTCTCATTCAGAGCTACTCAGAGAAATTCAACTCAAAACAGGTAACTGGAAGGAGAGGGACACACATACTGAAACCAAAATCAATCTGAAATAAGAGACTCATAGATCAAGCAGAACATAGATAAAGGATTTAAAACTAAACTACTGGTAGGCCACCAGATCGTAGGCAACTGCCCACTATACTAGGAAGCTTAAAAGAAGGAAAAAAAAAAAAAAAAAAAAAAGCATATACTAAAACAGTGTGGCTAAATGTATCCATACAGGATAAACTTTATATATAATAAAGTCCCCTGCCTCTTTTGCCTTCCTCCAAACAGGATGCTACAGCCCAGCAGTAAATTCCACCAGCACATAGAGGAATGAGAAAACTGCTCCCTCCCTGACGATCAGCCACCTTTCTTTTTTTTTTTTACTCTTTCCTCCTTTTTCTTTTTTTTTTTTCTTTTCTTCCCTTTTCTTTTGTGTACCAGAGCACTAACTGGAAACTCTAGGGATAAGATGAAAGACTACAGAGGTGTGTAGCAAATGCAACAGCTAACCCCTCCCGCATGACCTGTGACCAGAGAGATGGATTAAACAGCTTTGCACTGTGGGACTGAGCAGCCCAGGGCTGTCCTCACACCAGAGACAGGAGCAAAAAGTCACCCCACATTACCCCACACCACCTTGCTGGACAACAAGAGGTTACAGGCTACAGCAGAGGTGGGTGGCAGTGGCGGTGGACCTCGAAAAGCAATGAGGAGGTTAGCACTCACGCCTCAGAAGAGCAATAAGAATTGGGACTGAGCAGCCTTGGACGGCACCTGCAAGAGCAGAGGGTCAGAACATATCACAACATCCCACCACCCTTCAACAAATAATTTGGTCCCTCAGTGGATACCAGAGAAATTTTGTTTTTTATTGTATTTTATTTTACTTTTCTTTTTTCTTTGTTGGTTTATTTTGTTTTCCTTTTTTTTTTAGGTTTTTTACTTGTATTTTTGTTCTAACCTATTTATCTTCTTTGTCCCTTTCCTCACTTATTTCTCTAGAGTTAATCATATTTTCATGAGTGAATAGTCTCTCTAATCTTTCGGGTTAATGTCAATAATCCTTCATTCTTTCTCTTCTGCCCTCTTCTCTAGTTTCCGAAGGCTTGTGTGGTCACCCTTTGTCCTCTAGCCTTGTGTTTACTTTATTTCTCTTCAGCTATCTCTGTTTTATCTACCATATTTCTCAAATTTCCCCATCACAGGGGATGGTTCAACACAGGCAAATCAATAAATGTAATATATCATATCAAAAGAGCCAAAGACAAAAATCATATAATCTCAATAGATGCAGAAAAAGCTTTTGACAAAGTCCAACACCCATTCATGATAAAACCCTACAGAAAATCAGAATAAATAGTCTTTACCTCAAACTGACAAAAGCCATCTCTGACAAACCAACAGCCAACATACTAAATGGACAAAAACTGAAAGCTTTTACTCTAAAATAAGGAATAAGACAAGGATGTCCACTATCACCACTCCTATTCAATAGAGATCTGGAAACATTAGCCACAGCAATTAGACAAGAGAGAGAACTAAAAGGAATAAGGTAGGAAAGGCAGAAGTGAAATTATCATTATTCACAGATAACATGATGCTCTACATAGAAGAGCCCAAAAACTTCACCAAAAGACTTGTAGATTTAATAACCAAATTCAGTTGTGTAGCTGGATACAAAGTCAACACTCAAAAATCAACAGCATTTATGTATGAAAACAAAATTCACTGGGAGAAATTAGGAAAACCACACTCTCACAATAGCATCCAAAAAAAAAATTGAAATACTCAGGAATAAATCTAACAAAGGAAGTAAAAGATCTATACATTGAAAATTATAGTACTCTGAAAAAAAGAAATTAGAGAGGGTATCAGAAAATGGAAAGTGGGGCTGGGGATTTAGCTCAGTGGCACAGCGCTTGCCTGGCAAGCGAGTTTGATTCCCGGTACCGAAACAAAACAAAACAAAACAAAACAAAAAAAATTAAAAATTAACAGAAAATGGAAAGATATCCCTCGCCCCTGGATAGGAAGAATGAACACAGTGAAAATGGCCATACTCCCAAAATTGTTATTCAGATTTAATGCAATCCCAATCAAAATACCATCAGCACACCTCACTGAACTAAGGAAAACATTTCTAAAATTATTTGGAAACCTGGAAAGAAGAGACCTAGAATAGGTCTCTTTCCATTATTTGGAAAGAAGAGACCTAGAATAGCAAAAGTAATTCTAGGCAACAAAGGCAAGGCAGAGGGCATCACAATCCCCAACTTGAAATTGTACTACAAAGCTACTGTGATAAAATTAGCAAGGTACTGGCAAAAAAAAGCAGACCTGAATATGGTCTCCAGTTACATCCATTTACCTACAAAAGCCTCGAGTTTATCTTTCTTTATAGCTGAGTAATATTCCATTATAGAAAAATACCGAATTTTTTTTATCCACTCCTCAGTTGATGGGCATTTGGGTTGTTTCCAAAATTTTGCTATGACAAATTGTGTGGAATGAACATGGGTGCACGTATATTGCTGTGGTATGATGTTTTTATTTCTTCTGGGAAAATACCCAGAAATAAGCAAAATAAATCAGACTTGCATATATAAACACTGTATTGTCTCCCTAGTGTAAGAACCTGAAAGAGTAAATAAAACTGAAAGGTACAACAGATACTGTGAAAAGGAAAGAAACAGCTTATTAGGAAAGAACTGGGATGACGGGGAAAAAAAGAAAGGAAATATATATGTATATATAGCTAAGATAATTATACTACTAATTTCTATTGGTTTATTGAAAGGAATAGTTAACATTTAATTGTTTGATCAATCTTGCATACCTATATATGGTAATCTGAGCAACTACTTTGAAGATGACAGTAACACAACAACCATTGCTGATATCCTATCGTTTTGTTTTGAAATTCTGCATCATTTTTATAGTTTTTGTGTTGTTTTGTTTTTGTTTTTTTCTCTTTAAAATAAAAAAAAAAAACAAACCCAACCTGAGGATCAGTGGAACGGATTAGAAGATGAAGACACAACTACAAACACATTCAGCCACCTTATCTACGACAAAGGAGCCAAACATGTTCACTGAAGATAGCCTCTTTAATAAATGGTGCTGGAAAAACTGGCTTTCTACATGCCAAAGACCAAAACTAGAACTATATCTATCACTATGCACTAAACTAAATTCACAATGGATTTAAGATCTAAATATTAAAACAGAAACACTGAATCTACCTGAAGAGAAAGTAGGCAGAAATCTTAAGACACAGGTGTAGGCAGAGAGTTCATGAACAAAACCCAGAGTGCACAGGAAATACTCCAAAGAATCAACAAGTGGGATCTCATCTTATTAAAAAGCTTTTACACAACAAAAGAAATGACCAACACAGTGAAAAGACAACCAAGTGGGAAAAAATTTTAGCCAAGTGTCTCTCAAAGGACTTATATCTAAAACAAATTAAGAAAAGAAAAAAATCAGACCCCCAAAATTCAAAGACCCAATCCAAAAAAGGGCATCTGAGATGAATATGTACTTCTCAGATGAAGAAATACAAATGGCAAATAAATATATGAAAAAATGTTCAACATCATTGGTCATTGAAGAGATGCAAATTAAAAGAACACTGAGATTCCCTCTCACTACTGAAAGACTGGCTATCATCAAGAAATCAACCAACAACAAATGCTGGAGGGGCTTGGGCAAAAAGGAACCCTTCTCCACTGTTGGTAGGAGTGAAGACTGGTGCAAGCACTGTGGAAATCAGTATGGAGATTCCTCAAAAAGCTAGGATTAGAGGTCCCATTTGACCCAGCTATTCCCCTTTTGGTTATCTTCCTGGAAGAATTAAAAACTTCATACTACAGTGATATATGTGCACCCATGTTTATAACAGCACAATTTGTAATAGCTATATCTTGGAAACAACCCAAATGCTCACCAACCAAGGAATGGATAAAAAAGATATGTTCTTTTTATGTAATAGAATACTACTCAGCCATAAAGAAGGATAAACTTGAGAGTTTTATAGGTAAATGAATGCAACTTCAGACCATATTCATAAGTGAAACAAATCAGACTCACATGTGTAAACATATTGCCTCCCTGGTGTGAGAAATGGAGAGAGTAAATAAGGTCTAACTTGTATAATAGATATTGTGAAATGGGAAGAAATTGTTCAAACGGAAGAAGGAAGTAGCAAAGGAAAAGAAGGAAAGAGCAAAGGGAAAAGGAAAAAAATGCAAGTTAGTTATACTACTAGTGTCTCTTAGCTCATTGAAAAGGAAGGTTCGTGCTAATATTGACTGGAGAATTTTTATGCCCATATCTTGTACTCTGAGTAACTCCTTTAAATACACAATGTATTAATTATTGTTATTCTCCTATTATTGTTATGAAATTTTGTTCTACTTTTTTCCATGACATAAAAATTTTTTTAAAAAAATATGAGTGACCAGCCCTTTTTGACTCCACGCTAAGAGAAATACCATTCTTCACTCTTAAACCATTTCACAATAGGCCCACTATAAATTTTCAACAAACTGCATTTATACTTAGGTCTTTATGAAACAAAATGAGCAGAGGGTGAGTGTCATATTCCTTATTTGACAAATGAAGGTGAGTCAATCTTTGATAGCTAAGGTCATTTCAACATAGCATCCCTGGCTTAGCTCTATAATTCAAATTTACAACTCTCGATCCCAAAACCACATATAGCCATTCCCCAACTCTGTGTTTCCAAAATTTAGCTGTGAATCAGATTTACGAATGGATGCCTTTGCTTTACCCATAATCTACTGAAGCTGGAAATCACTACCTTAACTCTGTGTGATACAGCTCAGCCTGCCTTTTAATATTTGGTTGTCTAAAATGAGGGCACAAATGATGAAGAGACCAGTTTATAGAAACTTTTTTAACACAATCATGTAAAACTGATACATACATTTTCATCTCTTTAATTCTGACCTCAATTTTCAATTTAACTTTTCAGTCAAAATCATGAGTTTCAAATCCAACTGGAAAATAAATCAAATATGCATAGCAAAAAGAAGAGCTTAGCTTCAGCTAATGAACTTTAACACAAACCTGACCAGAGGAATTTCACCCTATAAAAAAATAAATCACAACTACCTATTGAACACAACTATCAGTCTTTTCCCCTATTTTATAAAATAGAATTAACAAATATTAAAACATCCATGGGAATACAGATGAGGCAAGAGTCTATATTCCTTTCTACCACAGGTAGGGTCATTTATGTGTTTCAACCCTGAACAAAATACAGGTAACAGTCTAAATTCAATCATGACAATAAAATACTTTCCATTTTCCAAGTTTGATGGTAATAAATATTTACATTTTTAAAAATATTTTTTGTTCATCTTTTTGTTTTTCTAAAAAGACAACATGCTCAAGAGTACACAGAATATGGAAAAAGTCATCCCTTTGAGAGATCAACTGGTTAGTATAAAACAACCTATTAATTTAAGAATGATATCATCAGGGAATTTAACATGGTATTTACCTCAAAGATGATATTCAAGTATGTTATTTAGAACACGATGCCTAATGTGTCTAACAAGAAGTAAGTACTACTATATAATTTTTGCATTTTAATATCGTCTATACCCACCACCACCTCCTCCTCCTCCTCCTCCATATGGATCTCCATAGCCTCTTCCTCCATAGCCCCCTCCTCTTCCACCGTAGCCCCCTCTGCCACCATAATCTCCCCTCCCACCATAGTCTCCCCTGCCTTGGAAACCTCCTCTACCCTTGAAGAAAGAACCACCTGCCCCTCCCCCTCCTCC